ACTTGTTTATTAACTAGAATATATCGAAAATTCATCGATCCGCAATCGTTCACGCGTAATGACTATAATATCTCCTCTTTGAGAATACAGTATGATTAAAGATCCAAATATTTTTATACCACGGTAGAGGGTGAATCTCACGATAGATCGTCTTATGGCTTAAGTATGGCACTAATAACCGAACCTTTTTTTTTTATATATATATATATATATGATGCAAATCTTTTGTGTCTATGAAAATAGACAATGATATGTTGTAAATTATTGTTTTTTCCGTGAATCCGTGAAAGCTGTGAACTTTGATAATCATCTTTGCTGGGTACCTTACATCATGAAGTTGATAAAACATTTTGACAGTAATAAGTACCAAACTAGGGAACGGGGACCGTTGTTAGGTCCCGAACGATCTTAACTAAAAAAATCCTCACTCGGTATTTGATTTATCTAGACTTTTGTGCAATTGCAAAGGCCAATCAGCATTGACTCAATTATATTGAGCGGGCGGATAAGCAGAAACAGGGCCCAGAATAGTCCTTCGCTTACGCTCCGGACTAATAAAACTAGGAAATGGAATCCATTGTGTGTCCAGAGCGAAATACTATCTATATATTCTATTTGTAAATCAATGTTATCCAAAATTTTAGTGACGTATGCCGAACAAACAGACACGTCACGTGATCATATTATTTGAACCTCTTAACGTAAAAACATATATAGTCCTTCGCTTCGCTCCGGTCAAATCATTTTGTTTATTTAAGCTAATACATACTGAGTATGGATTCTATATAAGATATTTAAAAACTGGATACAATGATAATCAAGTGACAAAGTTTAAATGTAAATACTGTACATGTGATAACAACGTAAATTATAAGAAAACATAGTAATTCAATTAATTCAATTTATTTATTTTTTTTTTTATTTTAGATAATTTATAACTAAAACTTTTATTTCAAAGAATTATATAATTTGTCAAAAATTCCTTCCATTCATTTTTTAAGATTTTTGATCCCGTCATCATCCATTTGATTCTAAAATGGAACAAGTCATCACTCTTATAAAGTGATCCTTTCTGACCATCACCTATCACATCATCTCGTCTCGTTAAAATTTCTCAACGACAAAATTAATGCTTGATCGAAAGAAATGTTTGATCGTTTGTTGCTACGATAGACAAGGTTCAAGGTTTGAACTTGATCCATAGAATTGAATCATGGATTTTCGGTATGCTATCTAAAATTACATAAAATAGTCACAAAGTTGCAGCAATGGAATTTCGTCATTTGCGAGACACGTGTCGTAAACGTTTGTTCTGTTTAGTAATGCCCATGAATCCTTCTCCAAAAGTATTCCAGGTTCTCCTTAAAATTTTCGCTAATATCAGCATAATTTGGTTGATAAATGTTATAATATATATTTTCAAGTAAAATGAACCAATATTTCCTTTCAGCATGATTTCGAGGAATATTATTGATTTCATTGGATTGTCTATTAATTTGAGCTCTGTGATTTAATATAATTTCTGGCCTGTTATAGTCATATGAAACTTTTAAAGAGAATTCTTCCAATTGTAATCCAAATATAATGGGCAAACTTATTTTAAAAAATGGGTGAATGATTTCAAAACTTTTTGCCAATTGTATGTATTGCAAGTAACTTGCTTTAATCGGAACCTTCTCATTACAATATTCAAGATAAATGGAGCAAATAGAATAAAATGAACGGGGTGAAAGACGGTCCGGAATTTCTCTATCAGGATTCTCTTGTAACTTTAGATCGATCCAAACTCGTGATTCAACAATGTCATCAAAGCATTTCTGCGTAGCCTTAGAATCGGGACCGTAAGTTCTAAGTATCCAACGGTAGATATTTGAATTGACTGTTAAGGATCGAATTTCTTTGGTTGTCATGATCGATTCAGCATCAAGTTTAAATTCAACTTTATGATAATCTAACGCCGCCTTTAGAGCTTCTTCAGGTTGTCGATCCACTCTCTTAATTAAAAATCCTAATAAGTCATTCTTCTTGGAATTTCTCTCGGGTCTCATTGCAAGAGTAAGACATGACAATGCGATATCGGATTTTGATTCCTTACGAACGATTTGAAATGAGTCCAATAAAAGATCACCGACTGCCTTTAATCTATGTCCAAGTTCAAACGAATGTAATACTTCTTCTATAACATCAAGAGATAATTCGAAACCAAGTCGAATAAGTTCTTGTAGACGAGCAACGACAGTTTCCACATCAGGGCATATCCAATCATCTGATGGAGTGGGAGGGAAGAGCATATTAAATGCACTTCGCATTACGAAGTCATTGGTATCGTTACAAATATCATGATAGCCAATTTCTTTCCAAAAGGTTATCAAATCCGGATGAGCTAATATCGCTTTAGCCACCACATTCCATTGACGATTGTTCTCATAACCATCCTTTGGTGGATACATTTCACGAGTTCTGATTTTCATTAATTTAACATAATCTATCGTATCCTCATATTTAAGTTTTGGTCGTGGTGGAAATGGGACAAATTTTTTTATCAAGATCAAATCTTTAACGAGATTAAAATTTGGTTCATGACGGAAAAGCCTTGCGGGTCCGCGATAGAAACGAGGATCGCCTAATAAATATCGGAAGTACTCCATGTCATTCCCTTTAGCTAAAATATTTTGATCGTTCAACAGACTAAATCCTTCAGTAATTAAGTTTGTGAGGTTCGTTAAAGATAAATTACTTCCCCAAGGCAAGGAAGGAAAGGGTAATTTCTTATGAAAGGCACGATATCTATCCAAGTCGACTTGAATTATATTATTATGTACGACTTTCAGATAAGGTAGGGTGATGAGCTTTTCGTCGATACCGAAATGCTTTAATAAACGTTGTATAAGATATCTAGAGAGTATCGCCTTTTTTAAAAGTAAATGTATGACCTTTTCTGTTATGAAGCCGTTACCAAGCCTCACGGCGTGAAATATTGCGTGCGCTCTACCATACTTGTAAATTAACCATTCAGCTCGAGCATGAGGGTCTTGAGAGATATTATGCCATTTCCGACTTGAAACTAAAAGGTTGATAGGTGTTGGTATGTGTTTAAATATTTCAATGTTTAATTCGTCGTATAATGACAACATATTTTAAATCTGATATCCGGGTATACGGATCTTTGCGGACTATCAAAACAAAAAAAAAAATAAAAAATAAAAAAATAAAAAAATTCGTAATGATTTTTCAAGGAAAGTGGGCGCACTTGATGAATAAACAAATGTTGATTGTTTTATATTTATATTTTAAATGGCTTGTTTTTGACTTCGAACAATGTGACTTGTTTGTCAAACGTCACACATCAAGTTTAAGTCCCTTATTTGGGGATAGATGATTTGTAAAAAATGAAAAATAAAATTCAATATACCCCAACGATGAACCAAAATCGAAATTAAAAATAGTGGCTTTAAAGAATGCATAAAATATCGATGACCTAACATAACACCATTCCATAAGAAGTAATTATGCCATCTTTTACAATAGAAAGGGGGGAAAAATTAAAAAATGCTAATCTGAACATATCTTGGCTTGAAAATCATATTTGACATATTTCCCCCTTTCTATCGCATATTGTAATTGTAATTGACAAGAATAAACGCTGTAATAACGATTAAGTGAACTTTTCTGATAATGACACCTTATTTTCCGTCACCCTGTATAAAAAGCTCTCAACTTTTACCAAGTATTTTGGATATATTTCTAATTGACACGCATTATTTGTCACAGATACCAGATCTGAAAATGCACTTTGTGACATTAAATCCTAGCTCAATGCACGGGACAATTTGGACAGTCAGTCATGGGACATAGATAATGTATGCAACAGTGTTGTTCGACAGTCACGGCAGAAACACGTTTAAACCATTGTTTTCCGACGATTACGTGATGGATGTTTAAATATTTTAGGTAAAAATTGAAAATCTCGATAAAGTAACAATTATACCAAACAAAGATAGTTTATTATAATAAAAATAAAATAAAAATAAATTGTATTATGATTGTATGACAATCATTGTTTTCTGAACTGATCACGAATTTGTTCAAGCAGTTTCGATAACTTGATCACTTTGCTGTGGTTGTTTAGATTTACATAATCTCTTTAAGGAATTATTAAGCGCCCGAGGTCTCTTCAGATTATTAAACAATTTATTGCGAAATAAAGATTCATCTTCGTCTGGTTTTTTTATCTCGTCAGTAGCAGTGGTTTTAAATATTGATGATTTTCTAATACTAAATGTTCTTTTTAATGTTGGATTATTTGAATCATTTTCTGAAGATTTAAAAATATTTGTATTAGGTAAAGAAGAATGAATTGAGAGATATTTTCCAAAGGATCTATCTTTTCGTTTCTTATTAACCAACATTGAATTACCACGAATTAAATTACTAGATCCTTCATCTGGAATTGTGTAGAAAGGTGTAATAGTAGCGTTGGTATCCCCTTCTTTTGTCAATGCGGTAAAAGAAAGTTTGATATCATCGCTAATTTCATCAAATTTTATTATTTCCTCTGCTATTTTTCTTATTTCACTCTGACTATTCTCCTGAACATTCTTTACTGCTGGATCTTCTGAAACCTCTTGATTGGTTTCTTGATCTCCATCATCATCATCATCATCAACATTGGTAATATTAAAAAAGTTCCTCTACATCATTTTCGGTAATATCATTATCGGTAATATTACTAATATCTTTATCATTACTATCGGTAATATTACTACTGGTATTCAAATTAATATCGGTAATAAAATTAGGAGCGACGTTATTGGAGCCAGTTAAAAAGTTTGACATCATCCTTTGATTATAAAACAATAATTTTGAATTTACTTTTGTGAGAGTATAATTAGATGATACATCATTTTGATGATGTTTTACTTGAAAACTTTTGTTGAAATTTACATGTATCGATGAAAGTGGTATAAGGTGTTTCGTAAACGAATGATGTGCGATTTTATGTATCAATCCCGTTTCTCGTAAATTTTGTGGTTGACTTTCTATTGGTAAGAAAGGATCATCATTTGCTTTAGTTTCTAATGTTTTGGAAGATTTTGAAACGGTAAGGTTATCTATATTAGAAGTTTTAAAAGCATGTGAAGAATAAAAATAGTCATAGTCCGTCGCCGTTATTGTGGTGATTGTATTCGTAACAGCAATACCAGTTGGCTGTGTACTGTTGGTCTTATAAAATAATGATATTACGGATTTAAACATCTTTTTTCTTTTTTAATATTAAAAAAGAAAATTGGGGTGTGAAAGGTGTCCCCCTAACCAAAATTTTTAAAAAAAAAGAAAGAGAATTTTAAACGAGCATACCTAAAAAAAAAAAAGAAAAAATCTTTTTACTTACCGTTGTAGGACTGAAAAAAAGAAAGTGAGAAACACGCAAAGTCTAGTAAGTTGAATAAGCCAGAGTAAAAGGATTGTTAAGGGAAAAAGAATAATTAAGCAGATATAAATATAAAAAAATATTAGGATTAACGCATCCCATGAAAATTTTCCACATGGACGATTTATTTGCGTGCGTCATGAAATTCCGGAATTAATGTTTTGGCAATTATTTAAATTATTTAAGGTTCTAAATTCGGTTAAAATTGTAAAGATTTTTAAATTTAAATTAATCCTTGGTTTAATAATCATCTCAATATTTATAAATAATTAAAAATGGCAATCATAATATGGGACCTTTGCAATAATAGAAAGGGGGGACAGGAAAAAATCAATTTTACTTTTATATGCCAATTATGATTTTTAGGCCAAAATATGTTCAGGTTTATTTTTTTCCAGCCGTTCCCCCTTTTTCTATTGCAAAGCCCATATAAGCTCAAGTATCAAGATGATGAAATGAAATCGAACGTTGCAGCATCAATGAAATTACATGTAAAAATAAATTTTTAATCTTTGTCAAAAAGAAAAAAATTTAAAACCATTATTAAGTTAATTGATTTTCTATTGTGTTCTATGGCAAGTGCATATGGTCCCATAGTAGTGTGGGTTTCGGAGATAGGACTATCATTCTAGGTTAGAACGATTATAACGAATATATCATTCCGATTCAAAGTTATTATAATATTTTGATCATGTGAATTAAAAAAATAAATTAAGTTTTTGACTTGGGGGGAACATAGTTCTGAGAATTTTAACAAAATTGAAAATTTTATTTTGACATATTTTATTTTATCAGAAGTGTCAGAAGTTGCAGATCATTTCACCACATGGGATTAAAAAGCAAGCTGATACTAATTTATAATTACGGTCATCTGGAGAACAAAGAAAAAAAAAATGTTAATCTTTTGTCATTCTTGTTAGAATCAGGAATTATGTAGGTAGAACAGTTCATCCTATATGTAAATTACCATCGTAAGGGTTTTTCTGGGAAGGGTATATTAGCCGTATTAAAATTTTTAACGTTACTGACTGCGACAGGTTTTATCATTAAAAACCCTTCTTTGAATTTGAATGTCTTTATTGCTTGAAAAACTTGTTCGTCATTAAAGCCTCCAGAGAGAAATCAGGGGCACCACCAGAAAGGATCACTGTAAATTATGTAAATCTTCTCTTTTATGAAAGTATCAGTAGATGATTTTCCTTTTCATATTGGACGATGCTGATTAAATTTTCAATATTTCCGTCCTTTTATGCGTATTGGTAGGATACATGCCAATTGCTGTGAAATAATCACCAGCAGGGTTTCTGAGTAATCAGCAAAGAACGCAGAGCAAAATTGCAATTAAAATTAAAAAAAATTTCTTAAACAAGTCGGAGCATCTTCAAGATCATGATAGCATTTGAGTTACATAATATGTGTCAGTTAACTATTCCTCCTAGCCCTTTATTTACCAAGGAGTTAGAGTTTCTAATTACTGACATTTAATTCTGACTTTGCGAGGACAAACACGGTTAATGGCAATTTTTACCAAAATGAGTTAATTACATCATTTTGTTAACGGGCATAACTTTTTTTTTTGTTCGTTTATTTCTTATTTTCATGTGATCAGCAAATAGATTACAGAATTGCTAATTTTCCGATGTCCGAAGGCCATCTTCCCGAATGGACGTTTTCCCGAAAACTTCGGCAAAGTTATCATAATGTAGGTCAAACTTTTCGGGAAAACGTCGATTCGGGAAAACGGCCTTCGGGATAACATACTGTAACCCTAATTTTCTGGCGTTTTGATATACAGGGAGACCGTTCCCATTTACAAGAAATTTTATATCCATCATGAGCAGTGATGTGCTCTTGGAAGATTGGAAGCATTACTGAAAGCACCTTTGGAAACATAAATTAAATTGTGGATAGTTTTAAATCCAAAAAAAAAAGATTTTTTTATATAAGTAATATTTTATATACTTAAAATATTTAATATTAAATATATAATTATTATAATTGCTATTAATAAAAAAAATTCATTTTAATATACTGTAAGTTTATTCAATTAATACCAAAAGCAACAAGAAATTATCTTTTTATATTATTTTTACCAGATCTTTACTTTTAGTTCATTTTATTCAATATACAAATTCTAGTCAACTCTATAGCTTGATATTATTTATAATACTTCTTATTAGATCTTTAATAGTTGTGAAACTTAAGAGAATTCAAAAACAATATTATTTTACTATGTTTTAGCATTATGAAATATTTTTGCTCATTTTATAATAGAGTTAACTTATACAAACTTTTAAAAAAGTATTGTAAAATGTATAAAAAATTTTTTGATGAATTATGTATTATATATAAATCATATTTATTTTTCACTTGTAGTTTTAATAAGCATAATAGAATTTCTAAAGATTCATGTAGTATTTGATTATTTTTTTATATTATACTATTATAAAAATCATTTTTAATATTAGATGGCTTTTTTAAAATCTGTAAATATTAATTTAAATTATAATAATAATTGATCCAAAAAATATAAATGAATAAAGATAGAAACAGGTATTTATTATAAGCATCTAATATAAATAAAAAAGAATATATAATATTATTTTACTTATATTCAATATATTTATTTTATTATTATTCCAATTTTTTTATTTTTATAAAAAAAAAATAATAGTATATAAAAATACTTATTTTAAAATAAATAAATATATATAGTTATAAAAATTATTAAGATATAATATTTATTTTTTAAACTAGTAAAATAGATTGAAAAAAATTTGTATTTAAAAATAATATTTCATTATTTCTTAAATTATAAAGTAAGTAAATTTACTTACTAGCATAAAAAAAAATATTAATTTTTTAATAAAATATAAAATATTAATTTTAATAATATAATTATTATATAAAAATTATAGTTTAATATATATTTTATTAACTTTATTAGAAAAATTTAAGTTTATTAAAAAGTTTTTTTAAATAATTTAATTTTAAAATTAAGTTTTAAAATATTTATTATAATAATTTTTCTTAAAATTTATATATTTATAAACTTAATTAAATTACTTTACTATTAATAAAAAGTTATAAATTTCTTAATAAATTATAAAAATTATAATAATTAAAACTATTCTTTAAAATAAATTTTATAATATTATATTATGATTAATATTACTAAAGTAAAATTTAATAAGATTAATAGATTAATGATAAAATTTTTAAAATTACAAATTTTTAGCTTATAAGTAACTTTAAATTTTTTATTATATAATTAAAATAAGTAACTATAACATCATATATATTTATAATTTTTTAAAAAAATTTTAATTTTTAATAAAATAAATCATAAGAAAATTTATATAAATAAACAAATAAATAAGCTTATAAATTCTTATAATTTAAGAGATAATTTTATTTAAAATTTTATAATTTAAATTAACTACTAGAAATACAAATTTGAAAAGAATTTAAGAGAGATTTTTAAATATATAAATATACCATTCTTATAATAGTAAACTTTTAAATTATAAATAATTATATTTAAATTATTATTTTAAAAAATTAATAAAGTTATTATTTTTATTTAAAACATTTTTTCAATTATAATTTTTAAATAAGTTTGATATTTAAAACTGATTTAGTAATTATCTGCTAAAAAAATATTAAATATTAAAAGTATCTTTTGAGATTAGATATATAAAGAATCATTTATTACAAATTTAGAGTATTCAATTTATTATAAATTAAGTATTATAAATAATTTTATTTTTTTATTAATTTAAACTTATTAATAAATATAATTAAACTTTGATATATTAAAATTATAATTAAAAAGCAAAATTAAAAGTTCAGTTTATAATAATTTAAATAATATAAAATAAATTTTTTAAATAAAAAATTAATCAAAATATGAAAAATTTTTTTAAAAAAAGATATAATATAATTATTAAAATAATTATTTTAAAAATTAATATTAAAAGTATTTTTTAAGAAATTCAAATTTTAAAAGTTTATCAGAAAGTAACTAATATTTTTTTTAATAAATTATTTTATTAATATTTTAAAATTATAAGAGATAATAAAAATTAAAATATCTTATAATTATTTTTTTAATATAAAATAGATTTATGTAAAAACTCTTAAATTATTTATAGAATTGAAATTATAAAATTAAAAATATATAAAATTATTTGTTTAATAAAATATTAAAATTAAGATTTATAAAATTATTAAAAGTTTAGTAATATATTTAATAATTATAAGATTATTGGTTTTATTTTAAATTATCTTATAGGTAATCATCAAATATATATTAATTTATTATAATTTTAATAAATATTTATTATTCATATTAATTATATATTATTTTATTTAAAAAAATATTTTAAATATAAAATAATAAAATTATTTCTTTACTAATATTAATATTATTTAATTTATTAGCAAATAAACTATAATTTATATTAGAAATATAATAGTTATAATTTTTATCTATTTAGTAAAATATATTTAAATAAAAAAATTTATTTTGTAATGTAAAAAGAATAAAAATATATTTTATTTATATTAAAATTTAGTTTTTTTTCAAGATAAATTTAATTACTTTTTATATAAAATATATTTTATAGAATAATAATAATTTTGTTATTAATAATAAAGATAATAAAAATATAATAATAAATAAAATTATTAAGGCAATTTCTAATTATATACAAGTGGATTAAACATAAATCATGTAATACAGCTAGCATTAATATTACTTTTACTAATATGAAGAAATTAAGAAAATGCTTATATAATAACTATATGACAAATATATCATAAC